AGAGCCAAAGATGTTAGAATTGTGTCGATGTCCCAATATTTCTGGACCTGACTGTATGTTTGTAAGGTATATGTATCACTGTCCAGGTGTATTTCACTCTTCTCCAATCTGATTTCCTCCAAATATGTTAGACTATGGCTCACATAATCACCAATCATATTCGTAATTAGCTATGCTGATTACAGTTTACAGAAGTTGTAGATCAGCCCATTTGGACAATGTCAGACCAGTAAAACTAGTCTAATTCTCTTAAGGCTGAGACTTGCCCAAGATGAGGTAGCAAATCTAAGGAAGATACATGATCTGATCCTAGATCTACATTCAGTACCCTATAGCTGTGAGCATGCAACTAGCAACATGTACTTGAAAAACAAATCTACCCTTTCCCCTGTCCAATGACACTTACTAACCTAATGGATCAACTCCTGGTGGCTTTCCAGGAACAGGCCTTAATCCAGGTGTAGAATTACTGCCGGGAGTTGGAGCATCAGTACGTGGAGTTGGGGTATTTGATTTAGACACAGGGGTGGTAGATTTCTCATTCTGATATGGAGAAAAGCAGATTTTATGCACAAATCATAGTGAATACAACTTGCATGAGTTCATTTTATTGAGATCTACACTGGTGTACTATTTTAATAAGGAATACATATATGGTATAGCACTTATCTGGTTATTGTAATTAATATCAAAACCTGACACTATTTGGATCAAAGAACTTTGATATTTCATACAGTTTCTTGCCACTCCCCATCCAAAACATGCAAAGTGGAATGATACATCAAAGTAGAATGATTGCCTCTAATATACAAAAACCCAACAACCAATATCTCATTTAACAAGATGCAAAATATTAAATTATCCAGTAGCAGTCCAACCTGCAATTGGATATGCCAACAACAGAGTTCAAGTAAATTGGATGATAGAAGCTGGAAAAGTATTGGGAAATAGCAATGGTTGTTTGAATCTAAATCTGCAAAATATTAGTGACATATTATACTCATGAGTTAATTCACCCCTTCTTTACTATTACATGTAATATGAAACTAATAGTGTTCACACATCACACTTTTTCTAAGTAGTCAGAATGTGAAGTCAGTAATCCCTTTACCTGATTTATAACCTAGAATATGTTATTATAACCGTATTAGAGATGAAGTATAGCAAAAGCAAACAATAATACCTTAAAAAAATTCTGTATTAGATTATCTCAGTTCTTTAGATTATCATAATTCCTTTGCATATTTGCTTAGGCAGATTCTCCCTGAATTGTGCATGTTTACCTAGGGCCTATCTATAACTGAAGAAATGAGACATAGAATCACAGAACTGGAAGATGCCTTTTAAGCCCCCTGCAGCATCACAATGAAGGCATCCCTGCTGGATGGATATCCAGCCGCTGCTTGAACATGTGCAGCAGAAGGAAGCTAACAATCTTCCTAGTTATATACTACTTTTATAGTCAACTGCTTTTATTATGAGGATTTTTTTCTTATGTTCAATAGGAATCCATCTTCCTGTAACTTGACTATTATTGAATTTGTAAGAAAAAATAGTGTTATTATAACTTTAGCACGGATTAAGAATGTTAGTGATTTGCCTAATTCTATCCTATTAATTTCCTGAAATTGTAACAGTGTTGCTTATCCCCTGGTTGAGACCACCACTCCCATATTAATTCTATTTTGGGGGGGGGTGCCTTTGAGTCAGTCTTGACTCCTGGTGGTGGCTGCCTAGATGAGGCCCTGCAGTTTTCTTAGCAAGATTTCAGAAGTGGTTTGCCATTGCCTGCTTCCTAGGGCTGAGAGAGAGTGACTGAACCAAAGTCACCCAGCTGGCTTTGTGCCTAAAGCAGGATTAGAGCTCACAGTCTCCTGGTTTCTAGCCTGATACCTTAACCACCACACCAAACTGGCTCTCCATTATTAACTCCTTATTCAGGGAAAATATTCTTGGATAAAGTTTGGAAATGTTGTATTACCAACATTCGTGTATAAGAGTTTATTTGAAGTACATCCCAGAAGAATACAACAGCAAGACATTTCTACATTGTTACAAAACAATAAGGATGCATCCAATATGTCATCAGGAGTTAAGCCTGACTTGGAAATGTTCCTTTAATAACTTAAGAATTTTGCAACATTAGAAAAATGTTAAAGGCTATCTGAAATTTCTGTGTGATTCTTCTTAGAGTGTGTGACAATTTATAACACCAAGATTGCATGTGGCCCTCCAAAGACCTGGGTGGGTCCCAAGAGTTTTAAAAGTTGCCATCAAGTTGCACACCTTCACCTTAAACATTTGTTTGAAAATCTCAGATGACTAGTTCTTCTAGAGAAGAAATTGTGGCAGATCAGGATCCTAGAAAAATAATTGTAGTCTCTCTCATGCAAGTTCATATGCACACACAAAATATCAATCAAAGGAAGTCAGTAGTGTTCTGGGTTTGCAAGCAGCCTTTCTCTGAATTGTGACTTGTTATGCAAGCAAAGAAAGGCTATTGTAAATGACATATTATTTTTTAGGTAGAATACGACTGTAGCTAAGTATAGTCAAGTAACACAAATAAAGCCAAGAACCAAATCACAACCAAGCAGGAAGCTAAATTTACTGTACATCGTCATACCAAAATAAAATAAAATAAAATTCAAAGAACCCCTGTGTACTCTTATTTATTCACAGAATAGCAAGCTTCCTGACATGGGAAAAAAAAATACAAGAAAAGGTAGAAACATTATTTTCAGACATGGCTAGCTAAATAAATACTTTCTATCATTCCAAAAGATCCTGAGTTGCAAGGTATATTTTTGGTAGAAATATATTGAACTTAGTGTTATATTATGATGTACTACTGGGACACATCTCATTATCTTCTGCCTCAGGTTAGATACCCAACGGTGCACACACAGTTATGAAGATGAATGTGGATTGTACAGTCACTTACAAGGCTAAGTTCTTTGGATTTGGAAGAAGGAGTGCTGCTGGAAGATGCTATTGAGGCTGGGCTAATTGGTGCATCTTTCTTGAGTAGACGAGTCTTGTCCAAGCCATTCTCCCTTGGAGAATGTGCTGGGCTGCCTCGTGGAGATGATGGATCCTAAAAAAGAAGTGTAATGATTATCAGGGTATCCTACTTGGTCCAGTGAACAACATATGGCTCCTTAGTTACTGCATCCCATAATGAAGCTCATGAATGGTATATTGTAGGGACTGCATGAATGATTATTAGCCAAGGAAGCATACTTCCATCCTAATATATGGATTAATACAGTGATTCCTTTTTTATTACACCAAAGCAAAACTATTTTCTAAGCACACCCTATGTTACCTGAGGAATACATGCAATAAACTATGGCTCCCAAGCAATATTGCACATACCTCATTGGATACATCAACCACCAAGTTATCATCACTCTTTTCACCATCACTATCCTGCATTGAAGAAGGAAAACATTTAAGCACCCAAAATACTTACTTTGTTAAAAGCTACATTTTTCATTTAAGTATGAAGAGTATTAGAAAAGTAGTGCAAAATGATTATGGTAACAAAATTGTTAGGACTTTTAAAAACTCATTTAATCCATGTAGCTGTCCTTGGACCATAATAGAACACGCCAGTTTGTTATATTTTTAAATATGTAGTTAGTAAGTAATTGTTCCTGGAGTTATACAGACTAGAGGATGAATTAAAATTTGGATGAGCTTATAAAAGTGAGCTTGGGAAAACCAATTCTCTCATTAGATTGCTCATCAGGAGGTTTAAGCTTGCTTTGAGTATCCTTCCCTTTCTAATTTAGCATGTTATATACAGTTGTGTGAAAAAGAAACTACACCCTCTTTGAGTTCTATGGTTTTACGTATCAGGGCATAATAA